CTCCTATACTCCTACTCCTACTCCAACTCCTCCTCCCTCTCCTCCTACTCCTACTCCAACTCTTACTTCTACTAAGGGAGCCTCACGATTCCTGCGCGGCCCTGGGAGACTCAGAATAATCCAAGAATCCAAGATGGCCGAGAGGTTCCAGAATAATCCAAGACGGTCCAAGACGTATCGCAAGGGGTTCTCATAGCAGGGCCCTGGAGATGCCTTCAGCCAATGGCCCCTCGCCTTCCCTCAGTGGCCAGGGCCTCTCAGGGCCCAGGGAGCTCTTATTCTCAGAGGCCTTCTGCCGATCCGCCTGACCTCCTCCCCCATCGGGGTCCAGGGCCTCTCAGGGCCCAGGGAGCTCTTATTCTCAGAGGCCTTCGGAGGCAGTAGTCCAGGTACTGGCAGGAGTCCAGGTACTCAGAAAGAAGCAGTGGCGCCTCATATGTTTTGTAGAATTGGCCACGTCGCCTAAGACATCCTCGCATTTGTTAGTAGAATTGGCAAACTCGCCTGAGACATCCTCGCATTTCTTAGTAACATTTGCCAAATCGCCTGAAACATCATTTGTTCCTCGGGCCTCTCAGCCATGTCATGGTTGTCAGGAGTAACTATCTACCATTGGTGTCTTCCGACGATTACGGCGACGACGAGCACGACCTGGCTGTCGCACGGATATTTTTTGGCCGGGTGCTAAGATAACGCCACGGTGCGGGGTGGGGGCGATACCCTCGGGTGGACCACCCCCTACGACGGCCGAAAACAACGCATTTCTCTAAAAAATGTTCAATAGAAACCTCATCGGAAAAACAAGCGGATCAGAACAAAGAGTAGAGAAGGAAGAGGAGGAAATCGCTTGAAACATCCTCACACATCTTAGTAAAATGGCACAAATCGCCTGAGACATCCTCGCATTTCTTCTTAGAATCCCACCAGCCCTCTGGGCGTCGGTGGTTTAGAGCGTTTCCTCTTCCACCCCTCCCTCTTCCCCTTCGGGGAAGGGTTTACCCCTCCCCCTACCCCCTCCCCACTGACCTGGGCAGGAGGGGCGGGGAGCGGTCAGAGCGTCCAAAACGGCCTCGGCGAGGAAGCCAAAATCATTGATTTTACTATGGTTTTGGCCCCATTTTGGCCTTCTGAGGGGGCAGGGCTAATTACAGCTCCTCTCTTCTTTGAAGCCAAAATCATTGATGTTACTAAGGTGTTGGCCCCATTTTGGCCTTCTGAGGGGGCAGCGCTAATTAAAGCTCCCCTCTTCTTTGAAGCCAGAATCATTGATTTTACTAAGGTTTTGGCCCCATTTTGGCCTTCTGAGGGGGCAGCGCTAATTGAAGCTCCCCTCTTCTTTGATCGATTTCCTCCAAGATGGCCCCAAGAAGCGCCCAGGAGGCACCAAGAGGCCCCAAGATGGCCCCAAGATGGCCCCAAGAGGCCCCCAGGAGGCCCCCAAGAGGATCCCAAACGGCCCAAAGAGGCCCCCCCGAGGCACCCAAGACACCGGAAAGCCCCTCAGGACGACCCTCTACTCGCCTGGGCGTCGTTTCTGGACGGGCTGGTGGGGATACGCGAAGCGTCTAGAATTAGCCAAATCGTTTGAGACATCCTCACACTGCTTAACAGAATTGTCCAAATCGCCTGAGCACCCTCACATTTCTTATCAGAGTTGGCCAAATCGCTGGAGACATCCTCACATGTCTTAATCGAATTGGCCAAATCCCCTGAGACATCCTCACATTTCTTCTTAGTCTTCGTTCGTATCTTCGTTCGTTTTAGTCGTATCCTCATTCGTAGTCTGCGAGGGTCGCTGCTTTGTTCGGAGTACCTCGATTCCATGAGGATCATGAGGAAAACGATGTTTATTATCCGTATTCTTACAATCAGTCGTATTCTGCTTCTCATTAGTTGTGTTATTCGTTCTTTTCTGCTTCTTATTCTTCTTATCTTCGTTCGTATCTTCGTATCTTCGGCGACGACGAGCACGATCTGGCTGTCATACGGATTTTTTTTGGGCCGGGTGCTAAGATAGCGCCACGGTGCGGGGTGGGGGCGATACCCTCGGGTGGACCACCCCCTACGACGGCCGAAAAAAACGTATTTCTCTAAAGGATTTTCAATAGAAACCTCATCGGAAAAAACAAGCGGATCAGAACAAAGAGTAGAGAAGGAAGAAGAAGAAATCGCTTGAAACATCCTCACACATCTTAGTAAAATGGCACAAATCGCCTGATACATCCTCACATTTCTTCTTAGAATTAGCCAAATCGCTTGAGACATCCTCACATTGCTTAACAGAATTGTCCAAATCGCCTGAGCACCCTCACAAATCGCCTAGCATCACGGTAACAGTAGCATCACGGTAGCAGTAACAGTAGCATCACGCCATCAGGTTTCATCGTCATCACGGTAGCAGTAACAGTTACGGTGTCTGCAGTACCTGTGACACTCGCCTTATTCTTATTATTGTTCTTATTCGTATTTTCATTCGCATTCTTATTCTGATTACAATTCCAATTGGGATGCCATCCGAGGCGGGACGCAGGAATTATTTACTTTCCTTTCAAGTGCGCGGTGCTAATTATATCGTTCGGCGAAAACCCCCCAGAATAATTATTTGATTACGGGGCGGTGCTAATGATAACCCCGGGGGGATCCTTCATCGCTTCATGAGGTTATTATTGTTATTATTATTACTGGTATTACTATTATTATCATTCGTAGTAGTAGTAGTAGTAGTAGTAGTAGTAGTAGTAGTAGTCGTAGTAGTCGTAGTAGTCGTAGTAGTCGTAGTAGTAGTAGTAGTAGTAGTAGTAGTAGTAGTAGTAGTAGTAGTAGTAGTAGTAGTAGTAGTAGTCGTAGTAGTATTATTAATTGTACTACTATTACTATTATTCTTCTTATTCTTATTATTCGTATTATTACCATTCTTGCATATGTTTTGTCTATTTTCGATTTTTCCTCGAAGATCCCCCTGTAGGGGGACAGGCCCGACTTCAGCCCACCACTGGCAGGCCCACGCTGAACCGAATCGCGAACTCAGATCGGATCGGAAACGGATCGGATCGCCAGCGACTCGTCCCCAGCCGCACCGAGAAGCGGGGCGCCGCGCGTGGCTCCGGCTGGCCCGGCCGCTGATGGTGAACTGGACCAGGTCGAATCAAATTGCACCGAAGCGGATCGCTTAGGCGGTCCTGCTCGGATCGTAGGCTAACACGACACGAAGATCGGGACAAAATCGGATCGGGATAACTCGAAATCTCCGAGAATCGGCGGGTTGGGAGGATGCATTGGGCGCCGCGGCCGCTCCAGAGCGTTCCGGAACGCTCTGAGAGCGCTCTGGAGCGATTTATCCCGATCCTAGCCCTGTTTTATAGGCGGCCCTGCTTTGGCGGTGGGTGGCACGCACGAGTCACCAGGCGCCGGACGACGCTCAGGCGTGCCGCCGGCTGGGGGCGGGTCCCCCCCGTGGCGATGGTCTCCGTGTCTCCTCGGATCGTGCGGGTGCTGCCAAGCGCGCGCGGGTGCGATTTTCCGACGTGCTGCGATAATGCGCGGCGCCAGTCTCGGGACGTCCCGAGGAGCTGGGCGGTGCACTCTCTCGCTCCGCACGTTGTTTCGCCCGGCCTCGGGCCCCAGGGGCCTCAGGGATCTGGTCTGGCCCGAGACGCGCGGCCTTAGAAGACGGGGCCGAGGGCTCCTGCTGTTTCTGACTACCTACCAGACCACCCCAACCCAACCCGAAGACCCCAATTTCGGGTTGGAGGGGTACGGGTTCCATATGTTTTTTGTCAGTGTTCCACGACCCCCCCCAACTGGAAATGGAGGGCAAATTGAGGCCTTCGGGTCGGGTTGGGGTGGTTTGGTGGGTGGTGAGTTTCGGGTAACGAATCCTGGGAGGTCGTCGCAATAACGATGACAACCTCTCGAGCCGGATTGGGAAGAGGAGCCACCTAGCCGCCAGATTGAGCTGCATGCGAGCCCCGGATTAAGCTGGACTCGACAGGCTGAGGCGGAAAGCGGGAGCGTGCCCAATGAGGCCCGTTTCCGACCACTGATCTACCGGCGCCGATGTTGAATCCTACCCCCAAGAGCCGTATATGTCCTAATGTGGCCGTTTCCTCGGCACGCCGCTCTTGCACGTGCCGGGCTCCAGAAACCTGGAACCTATAGAAACCTTGCCGTTCCGTAAATGGGCGAGAGACTCGGCCAGGCCGAACTCGGTCAGGCTGAACTCGGCCAGCTGGTCTCGGCCGGCTGGCCTCGGCCACAGGCCGACCTCGGCCGAGCCGCATATTCGGCCCGGACACCGAGATCAGCCCGGCCAGGGAGCCCACAAAGGACGTACGCGCCCAGCTATGTACATGAACACGGCCCCTTGACCCGCGAGACCTGCCGCGCGATACGAACATTCGCGCAATGCGAACTCTCGAAACCAGCGTGGATTCATGTACATGTACGTCCTTCTTTCGCTCCTGATTCTCTTTCTGCGAGACGCAAAGGCGGGGGGCGCGGGGGGAGCGTCCGGGGGCTGCCCGAGGTGGCCCTGGCCAGAGGCTTTCTTGGTGCTTCTCCGACGAATCGCCGGTCGTGGCTGGCTGCGGGCTGAGGGGCTCGCGCCCGCGCGCTCTCGCTTTACCGAGTGAGGACACCCTGAGTTTCATACGAAATTATTTGGCTCCGAGCGCATACCCGCCAGCATCGCAGCATCGCACGCGCCAACAGAAAGTTCGACGAGGAGCTCAAGCGCCCCAGGCTGTGCCTGCAGAGGAGTTCCTGCTCGTGCTGGCGCCCGTCCTGCGTTCTCGTCCGCGTGGACCCCTGCGACGAATATGTCGGGTGAGGACGCGCTCGGAGGAAGACGAGACGGGAACACCCGAGAACCAGCGAGCTTGGCGGCTGCATCGGGCGTGACGCTCTGGAAGGGTCCGTCCTCATCCTGGGCCTGCCTGTGGTCCCTCGGCGGCGGCGGGCGGGCGGCGGCGGCGGTGGGCGCGGGGCGGCGCGGAGCGGGCCCCGGCGGCGCTGGCCCCGGCGTGGGCGGGTGCGGCAGCGTCGCCGAGGTGGACGGCACGGGGCTGGGCGGCGGCAGCGCCGCCAGCGGCGCGCGGCCCATGGCGGCCAGGGCGTCCATGTACCCCCTGCTGTACGAAGGGTCCTCGGCGCCGCCGCGTCGATGGTTGAATCATATTTCCGGCAGTGTGTGTTGAATGACTGTTCTGTTTCCCCCCCGAGGGTGCGCGAGGCCGTGGCTTCCATTCGTGTCGCATCCCTTCTGTGTTGGGTCCTCGCGCTGAGCAGAGCGCTGCTGCCTCGATCTTCCCTCCCCCTGCTTCCTCTCGGCCTCCTCCTCCTGTGCTCTTCGAATCCTCACCCTCAGCATGCACCCGGGCTGCCAGCAACGCAACCGTCGCCACTTCGTGAGCTTCCCACTGCGCCACTGTCGCCGAGAATCCGCCACCGTCGCCGAGAATCCGAGGAGGAGGAGAAGAAGAAGGAGGAGAAGGAGGAGGAGGAAGAGGAGGAGGAGGGGGATGAGGAGGAGGAGAAGGAGAAGGAGGAGGAGGAGGAGGAGGAGGAGGAGGTGGTGCTCCCTGCGCCACTGTCGCCGAGAACCCGCAACCTGCCCGAAAAGTCCCCCGGGGCGCGGGCCTATGGGGACCCGACCGGGGCCTCGGCCCGCTGGGCCGCTGCCGAACGCGAGAGCGCCGCTACTCTTAAATCGGGCCTGTCCCCCTACAGGGGGATCTTCGAGGACAAATTTTAACATAGTCAAACAAGATACAAGAATGGTCATACAACATTCAAAATTTGTAAAAATTGATCTTCGAGGAAAAATCTAAAAATAGTCAAAGATACTCAAAGCTAGCAAAAAATATGCAAGAGATCGTGCCCATACTATTTTTGGACTATTCTTGCATACTCCTCCTGCAGAGGGACAGGCCCGACTTAACGTTACTCATGGACGCTCCCGGGGGTCCGCAGGAGCGACGTCCTCCGCACACCCATCCAGCTCCGCAGCTGTCGCCAATGTTGTCAACTGTGCCCGGCCGCCACGAGACTGTCGTCGGCGCCGGCTGCAAGTACACCGACGACATGCACGGAGTCTGGTTGCACCTGCACGTCATGCTCTCCAAGGCCACCTCACAGGATAACCTACACGTCGTTCATCTCTAATCGTGCTCATTTCTACATGTGCTCGTTTCTAATTGTTCCTGGCCCCCTGGTGGCCAGGAAGAGGCCCAGGATGGAACAATTAGAAATGAAGGGATCTTGGCACCCCCAAAATCAAAGAACTTTCGAATCATTAGACATGAACGCTGTGTACCTGTGATCCATGAGGTATGGCTGGAACGTCTTTTCCGAAAGCCAAGCCGTCCGCGGACCTGGCGGCGCGTCTGCGGACGCTCAGCGTCCACACGGACAAAAATCTGTGCTGGACAAACAAAGACAGGGAACCATGCGGGCCAGCTCGGCCTGACTAGGCTTCTGCATCCCCCGCAATGAAGCCGAAGACTGGCTCGATACTAGAAGACGTAACAACGACTGACCATCGCTCGGACGTCCATTCCCTGTGCTTCTCTCGGCTTCGCGCGTGGTTTTTTCCTAGGATGATCCAGGATGCTCCTTAAGAATCCCCGCCGAGAAAAAGTGCACACGTCCGAGCGACACCAAGACGATATATACATCCGCCACCGTGCCCCCAGGCACGTTAAGGTGAGCTTTTTTTATTGCGGCACTTTTTAATGGTCCAGTACAGATTCCACGAAACCACCAGCAACTGGTCGGCAAAACTGACTGGCGTAACGACGCGAGGACAGTTATCGGGCAAACAATGATGCCGACGAGTTGAGGTGAGCTGGAGTGCCCCTGGCAAAATGCGACAGACCCATGCTCCGGAGGCCCGGGTGCCTCCAAGACTGCCCATTGCCACTCCAAGACGCGACAACTTGGCCTCAAGACAGCCCACGATGGCTACATGACAGTCCACGAGGCCGTCGAGGCGTCCCAAGAGAGCCCCAGGAGCCTTCCCAGGATGGCCCCGAGAAGCACACATCATTGATATTCCTAAGGTCTTTCAGTGTTTTCCAGGTTCTCGCCTTTTCAAGCTTCCCACGCTCCAAGACGACCCAAGAGGCCACCAGGGCTGCCCCAAGACGGCCCCAGAGGCCCCCAAGAGGGCCCAAAGACTGCTCAAGATGGTTCCAAGACGGCCCTAGAGGCACCCAAGAGTACAGAGGGCCCCGACACGGCCCCAAGAGGGTGAACACGAACTAAAAATTCGAGCCTTCCGCTCCAAGAAGGCTCAGGAGCTCAGGAGCCCCCAAGGGACCAAAAGAGGCCCCCCAGAAGGCTCCGAGAGGCAGCTTTTTAATTTTTTGTGGGTTCTCGCCTTTTCGAGCTTCCGACGCTCCAAGACTGCCCAAGAGGCTTCCAATACCCCCCCGAGACGGCTTAAGAAGACCCCAAAAGGGCTCAAAGACGGCCCAAGAGGCGCCTAAGACTGCCCAAGAGGGTCCCAAGACGGCCCCAAGAACGGCCCGAGAGTAGGAACACGAACTGAGAAGTCGAGCCTTGCCACCACTCCCCCCTCCCCCCCTGGACCCGCACACTTGATAAATGCTTCCCCTCCAGGCAAGTAAACAACGTCCATCGCGCGACTCTTCGAGCCTAAGCGCGCTTCCCGTCATCCGCTACCTCAGGGCCCAAGCCCGACCCCGCCATCACTCCTCCCCTGAACCCCTCCATTTGATAAGTATTTTCCCTCCGGGCCGGGGTAAACAACGTCCATCGCGCGACTCTTCGAGTCTGAGCGCGCTTCCCGTCATCCGCTGGGCCTTGATGACGAGTGTATCCCGAGCCCTTCCCCCCTTGCACCCTCCCCAATTGAAAATATGATTATTTTACTATACCCTCCGGGTCGATAGCAACGTCCATCGCGCGTCACTTCGAGTCTGAGCGCGCTTCCCGTTATCCCGAGCCCTTCCCCTCCCTGCACCCCTCAATCGAAAATATGATTCCCTTACTTGACCCTCCCGGGTCGATACCAACGTATTCTGCTTCTTGGTCACCTTGGAGGTCATCCGAGATCGCTCTAAAAAGATGCCTTAAACCAGCTCTTGGCGCATCCCATGTTTCCGAGGCTGTTTCAGCGGATGCTGAAATTGATGTCCAGGGAGGACAGCCATTTCAGCATCCCCATTGTCCGAGAATGTCTCGGGCGAAACGCTCATGTTTAGCATACAGCGTCTTAAGATACGACCCCCAGATCGCGATTTGGCGAGGATGTCTCATTCGAAACGCCCTTTCTAGGAATCCGATCGCAACGAACCTCCAGTGCACCTCGCGCGCTCACCCCGCGTGTTCCCCCTCCTGGACGTCCCCAGTTGATAACAGATCCCTTTGGGTAATCGACGTTTATCGCGCGACACTCTGAGTCTAAGCGCGCTTCCCGTCATCCGAGCGGACCTCCGCAAGTTCGCTCCTCCTCGTCCTCCTGCCCCTCCTCCTCCTCCTCCTCCTCCTCCTCCTCCTCCTCCTCCTCCTCCTCCTCTTCCTCTTTCTCCGAGAAGGCCGAAAACTGGCTCGAGACACCTCCCAAAAACGGCCCCTGGGACCCCCAAGACGGCCCCGAGAGCCCCCGCCGGCCACGCAGGCGACCCTCCAGCAAGAAGGCCTCCAAGACGCACAGAGCTCCCCTCCTCCTCCTCCTCCTCCTCCTCCTCCTCCTCCTCCTCCTCCTCCCCTCCTCCTCCTCATCCTCCCCCTCCTCCTCCTCCTACTCTCCTCCTCCTCCTCCTCCTCCTCCTCCTCCTCCTCCCTCCTCCTCCTCCTCCTCCTCCTCCTCCTCCTCCTCCTCCTCCTCCTCCTCCTCCTCCTCACATCCAGGCCATGGGCCCCTGAGAAAGCCGAGGACTCGGCTCCACGCAGGAGTGGCCCCCGGCAGGAAAGAGTGACCGTTGGTGCGCAGCTGCAGGAGGCCGCGGGGGGCCCGGTTCCAAGCGCGCAGGCCCGTGCTCGGGGGGCTACCGTGGGCGCGCACCGAGGGTCACTCCGTCGAAGGGTCGCTCTCACGAGCAGCCGAAAGGCTGGCCCAAGACTCAGCGTTCTTGAGGAGGAGAAGGACGACGACGAGGACGAGGAGGAGGAGGACGAGGACGCGGAGGACGAGGGCGAGGAGAAGGAGGAGGCCGAAGATGAGGAGGACGAGGCGGACGAGGGCGAGGAGAAGGAGGAGGACGAAGACAAGGAGAAGGAGAAGGACGAGGATGAGAACCCCCCCAGGACTGCGCCTGGGACCCCCAAGACTGGCCTGAGGAACCCCGAGAACCCCCCCCTCCAAGAGGCACCGCGACGGCCACGCAGGCGACGCGGCCGCGCTGGACGGCGGTGCTGCGCCGCGCAGCAATCGGGCGTTGGCAGAACGGGGTTTACTGGAACCTTGTTTAGTGATTTGTACCGGGGGCGCCCCCCCGTCCCATTTCCACTAACCGGAACTGCCGTCACCCGAAAAACACCAGCTACGGGAAACCTGGTTGAGTGAATCTGGCCAATTGAGGGGCCCCAGGGCCCTACCACTAACCGGGTCCCCTTACCCAAGGTCCTGGCTATACCCGGAGCAAGGCCCTAGCTAAACCACGTTTTCCGTGTTCGTGCAGTTTTTTTTTGTTTCTTGTTTTTTTCACGTTCGGCTTTCGCCCCGCCTTTGCTGCAGAAGGAAGTCAACACGACAACGGCCAACGAACTCGCCAGAAAGATCGCTCCGCTCGCGCCCTCCCCCCAAAGTGGGGCGAAGGGGTCGGCCTGCTGAGAAGGCGGAGGGCTCTCTCGGAAGGACCTGGCGGCTTCTGCTCAAAGAGCCCCTTCTCGGCGGCGGACACACCTCCCTTTCGTCCTCCCCTTCAGCGAAAACGGCCCGGGACCGAAAGCGACGGACCTGGACCCGCAACAAAAATGACGGCCGCGGCGCCCTCTCGCGAACCGAAAACGGCCAATTCCTTGATCGACGTGTCGGGGTGCAGAAGGGGCGTTGACCTAAGAAACCCTAAATAAGGAACGGGGCCCCTATTTTCCATAGGTTAAACTTCGATTTCCCAAACCTCAGGAAAACTGAAAGCAAACTGCAATACAATCAAGGAACGCCGAGCCCCTCTCCAACGAAAAGGGTTCCTTCTTCAGGGCCCCGACTGTAGGAGGTCTGTCCACACCCGAAACAAACTGCACAACCAGGAGCTCTCGGCGGTCCGCCTGGCCTTCGGGGCCTCGGCGCTGGACCCCCCCTGGCGGCGCCTCTGGCGCCGCTCTCGGTGCGCTCCGCGCGCCAGAGTTAAGTCGGGCATGTCCCCCTACAGGGGGATATTCGACGAAAAATAAAAAATACCCCAAACATAATCAAACAATAATGCAAAAATAGCTTGGGGATTATTTTTTGAGCATTTTTGACCTTTTTGGACTATGCTTGGTGTATTTTTTGTTTTTCGTCGAAGATCCCCCTGTAGGGGGACACGCCCGACTTAACGCCAGAGAGAGGGGTCCATGGCCGATGCAGGAGATCCGCGCGGACTTCCGACAATTTGTGCTCATGCCGTTTGTTCCTCTTCGGCTACCTCCAGGTCGGCCCGTCCTGCGCCTGGGGCGGAGCAGCGTACGCCGGGCGCGCGGGCGCCATCGCCGGCGCGTGCGCAGGGAGCACCACGGTCAGCGGCCCCGTCTGCGCCTGACCCCGCTCCCTCCCCCCTCGTCCCTTGCACGCACGGCTTGGACGGGCGCCGAGCATGCCACCGTGACCAGTTTGAAGTAGGCCCTGTCCCCCTACAGGGGGATCTTGCACGAAAAATGAAAAAATACTCAAACAAATCATCAAACATGGCCAAGAATGTTCAAAACATCGCCCCCATGCGATTTTTTGGGGCTATTTTTGAGTCTTCCTTGGCCAGCTTCGGCCAGGGCGCGCCCAGCCGTGGCTAGGGGGCCACATGCGAACCCTACCCCTGCCCCCCCACGACTTCTGAGGTGGAGGGTGGGGTTCACTTCGTTCGGGAGCTCCCGAGCGAAAAGGAACCCCACCCTCCCCCTCCGAAATCGTGGGGGGCAGGGGTCGGGTTCGCATGTGGCCCCCTAGTGGCGGCGTCCGGGCCCCACGTGGCCCCCAGCCCCGGGGGGGCAGCTCGGCACCCGCTGCGCCGGGGGCACGCGCGGGGCCCCGCGCGCCCACCGCCGCCGCCCCCCCCGGCAGCCAAGGCACCCTTTTGCCACCGCTCGGACGCCCATGCCTCGTGTACTCTTCGAGTTCGCGCGTGCTCCTGTCGCTGAGTCCTCCAGGGGGCTCCTCCATGGTCCTCGCCGAGGGAGACATGCACACACCACGTCCCTCCGCCCGCGGATCGTGTGCCGGGTAGGGTTGTGGATGCCACGACAATGGACACCCTAACAGTCCTATCATTGAACTCAAGATGTGTTTAACATGTCGGAAACATGCTTTGAACATGTTTGTACACGTTTAAGACATGTACAGCACATGTTTTAGACATCTGGGAATTATTTGGCGACATGCTTCCTCTCCATTGAGCGTCCTGGTTTAGTGACTCTGGTCATTTCAGGGGCTCCATGGCCCTACTACTAACCGGGTCTCCTTACCTGGGGTCCTGGCTATAAAGGGGATGGGGAGAGGGGTACAACAGCGTGCAGCACCGCCGGTGCCACGCGTGCTGCCCGCTGCCGCCTGCGGGGCCGCTGGCGGGGCAGAGCCCGGCCCCCGCCGCGAGCAGAGCCAGCGAGCCCCAGACCCCAGCTCCAGGAGGGCAAAGATCCGAACCAGTCCTTCCAAGGTGTGGTCGCTCATCAAGTAGGTGTAAGGGGAGGAGGAGGAGGAGGCGGGGGCGGAGGAGGAGGAGGAGGAGGAGGAGGAGGCGGAGGAGGAGGTGGAGGAGGAGGAGGTGAGGAGGAGGCGCTCGAGTCCCCTGCGCGGCGAGCCGCCCGCCGCTCCCGAGGGGAGGTCGCTCCAGGGAGCCCTGCGGGAGCCTGCGCCCACGAGGGCCGCGCGCTCCAGGGGGCCGTGCGCTCCGGGGTAGGGAAGCGATGGTCGACGAGCGCGTTCCACCACTCGCAGAATAACAGTCGGGGCGTTGACCTAAGGAACCCAAATAAGGAACGAGGCCCCTTTTTCCATAAGTGAAACTTCGATTTCCGATCGAAAACATAAGGAACACCTGAGGCAAGCTGTGAAACACTTAAGGAACGCGGAGCCCCTCCCCAACCAAAGGGGTTCCTTCTTCAGGGCCCCGACTGTACAGTGGGGGCTCGGCCACAAGAGACCTCCGCAAGAAACCCAACCCTGAAATACGCGATTGGTTCAGTGAAAATCCACATGTGCCGATCGAAAATCGTCAGGATCTGATTGGGAGACCATCAGAATACAAGAAACCCAGGGCACCCTGGCAAAATCCAACTGGTTTCTTGGCACGCGCCCCCACAGTGCTCGCAAATGGCCTGGATCCCCCCCCAGGGATCTACGATAAATTACGTCAAAGCAGACAGGTGCTTTTCGGACGCTTGCGAGTAGGCACTTCGCGAGCCGTGGAACGCGCTCGGCGAGATGGGCCAGCCCTTCTGGCAAGGCTGAGAGATAATCGTGCGCGGTGGTCCTTCGCCGTCCCGCCTCTCGTTCCGCGTGCAGGGCGCGAAGATATTCAGCTCCCTTTCAGTAACGAAGGCTGGACCAGCCATGCTGGGCTCAGCGATTGTCGTTTCTGTTTGCACAGCCGATCGCGCCGCCAGGGAGAGACCGTTCACCTTTCAAGGATCTCCCCGCCTCGCTTGCACTGTACGCACCGTCCTTGCGCATCGATGCTGCTATGCTTGCTGCTGCCATGCTGCTGCTGCAGCTCAGAATTCAGCCCGCTGGGTCCATTTTTCGTGCCCGTGCTGGCCACCTCCTCCTCCCTCCCTCCCCTTCTCCCACCCTGCCCGGCAAGTACGCTGCTGGAGGCGCCGTGTGCGGCCACGCGCGCCACAGGACGAGGGGGAGGGGGTGGAGCTTGGGGATTGTGGCGGGGGGGGGGCTCGGTTTCTCACAAGACCTCGGCGCCCGGCCTGACCGATGGCTGAATGTGTGTGTGTGTGTGTGTGTGTGTGTGTGTGCGTGTGCGTGTGCGTGTGCGTGTGTGTGTGTGTGTGTGTGTGTGCGTGCTGCTGCCAGGTGGCCGCGCGCCGCCCTCCTCGGACAAACCGCGAGCCTCGTCAGAGTCGCAATCCAGAACCGCCTCGTCCCTGCCCTTTTCCCTCTGCGCGCCGACCCACCAGGACCCCCTGCAACGCGACCCTCTCTCCCGAGCCCGCGCTCGCCACTCCGCCCTCTGTCCCCAACAGCCTCTCCCCCTTTGCCCCCGCATCATGACCGCCCCTTCCCCTGCCCAAACTTCTCCGCGGCCCTCGCCCTCCTACTTGTCCTCCCCTCCTTTGTTTTCCTTCTAGATAACTCCTCCCTGTCGCGCCCCGAGGCAGGTCGAAGGGGCGGGCCCGGGCGTTTCGCCTGAGACATCCTCACATCTTATGACTGTGATGCTGAAAACTTGGCATCCGATTCACAAACGGACAGCGGGTGGTTTTCAAAAAGTGGCTCTCGCCTTAACGCCGCGCACAGTCGTTACAAAATTCGCACGAGTTTCACTGATTGAAGGTGATGCGTTTAAAACATGTTGTTTTGATTCGCGGGTCGAGAGCGCGCCTCTTCCGTCGAAGCTAAGCGGGCCGCGCGAAGCTTGAATGAACCAGAGATGGGGGAAGAAAAGAGGGGGCGCAGCCTCAGAACGAGGCCGGGAGGAGGCAAAGCCTCGGAATCAGGCGGTGCCGTAGCCGACGTACTTGCAAAGGAGCGCCTTTTCCATGAACCCGGTGGCGGAGTACCGGTTGAAGCAAAATGCTGTGGTTGGTGCTGCTGTCAACGGGTCATCATTTACACCAGCCTCGAGTTGGCGGCGAGAGGTGACGCGCCTTGCAACCAAGCTGCGTCAGGGATCAGTGAGAGCGAGGAGAGCGACGCTGAGACGAAGTGCAACGTTGTGCCATCGTACAGGTAGCAGGAGCGAGTGCCTCAGGGCCGTGGTAATCCATGGTGCCACAGGTCCAAGGTACAGGAGCCGCAGAGACTTGAGGCGCGGCAATCAGGACACGCCGAGAACATGCCGCCTGTGACGACCGACGGGGTGCTGGTGCACTGGAGCAGGAGATGGAGCGGATCCGGTCCTGCAGGGGCGAGCGCTCAGGACCGGGCCGAAGCCGCGCTGTACCAATTCGTTTTAAACATGTGGCTCTCGCTGTAGCGCCGCGCACATTCGTATTACACATTAGCATGATCTTCACAGATTGAGGGCGGGTGGTTTTCAAACTGAGGCTCTTGCTTCAGCGCCGCGCGCCTTCGTTCCAAAAAATGGCAAGCGCTTCGCGGATTGAGGGCGATTCGTTTTTTGAATGTGGCGCTGGCCATAGCGCCGCGCACATTCGTTTTGACAATTTGCAAGAGCTTCGCGGATTGAGGGCGGGTGGTTTTCGAAATGTGGCTCTCGCCTCAGCGCCGCGCGCATTCGTTTTTTTTTCAAAAACGGCAAGCGTTTCAAGGATTGAGGGCGGCTCGTTTTTTTATGTGGCTCTCGCCTTGGCGCCGCGTAAGCTTGCTTTACGCATTTGCAATAGCTTCACGGGTTGGCGGCGGGCCGTTTTCAAAATGTGGCTCTAGCGCTGGCGCCGCGCACATTCGCTTTAAATAGTTGCACGAATTTCACGGATTCGCATGGATAACGTAATTACCAAGAGATGGTGTGTTGGGTCGATTCAGGATTGTCAGGGCGCTGCAAGATGTTCATGCGGTTGTCCCCCAACCGAGCACTCCCCGCAGGGGAAATGACCCAGGGCCTATGAAGAGGGATCTTGGAAGGGAAGTGTATTAGAGGGGCCCCAGGACACACACAAAGACATACACAGAAATAAGAATGATCCCCATATTTTCCCATATGTTCTGGGTTTTCGTCTTCCCCCCACTTCCCATATTTTCCCATATTTTCCTGGGAATCGACGATTCATTGTGTCTGTGTGTTTTTTCCCTCTTGATGTATGCACTGGTCCTCCTCCTCGGGCGGCGGCGGCGGGCGGCACCCCCCCGTTCCGTCATCACCTTTTTCGACGCCCGCCTGCTCGCAAGGGGCGAGCCCAGGGCGACGTTCGCTCAGAGCCCCCGTGGAAGTCGATGCTCGGAGGACGTCTCGAGCGAAACGGCCAGGGGAGAAAAAAGGACAGCGAGGACAGAGAAACAGCGGAGGACGAGCGCGAGGAGTGCAGAGAGTGACCCAAGGAGGCGGATGTGACAGCGTGGAGGAAAGGAAGGGCAGCGAGGGGAGGCACGAGGAAACGAGGATGAAGACAAACACACGGACGAGGAGGAAAAAACCGGGGAGGACGAGGACGAGGAGGAATCAGGAGGAGGGGGGCCCACCTCCCCTCTTCACCTGCTGCTGCTCCTCTTCCACCGCCCTTTTCCCGTCGCCTCACTTCCCCTCCCCTCCTCCTCCTCCTCCTCCTCCTCCTCCTCCTCCTCCTCCTCCTCCTCCTCCTCCTCCTCCTCCTCTCCTCCTCCATCTCCTCCTCCTCCTCCTCCTCCTCCTCCTCCTCCTCCTC